GCCCATCTCTTTAAGAGGCAGGCTTAATATGTCATCAGAGCGCCCGGTGCTCTGCGCATCTGGCGCTCCAACAACATACTTCCGCTGCAGCGTCCGCACACACTGTGGCGGAAGAGATGCCAAAGGTGCGCACAATGCCTCTTGCGGAGCATCTTTGGCATCTTGCAGAAGGAATGCTATTTTAGCGCTCCTTCCAGGGCCTGAGAAGCTGCGGATTGGGGCCGAGGAGTGCAGCTACCTCAGCCCCAATCTACAGCTTTCCAGGGCGGCCCATGGCTGCCCGTCTGCTTAAGCCCTTAAAGTGCCCAAATGTGCAGAAACAGGAATTAAATCCCAGAAAAAATCCTACAAAAGCAGGATCATTTTCAGACACATTGGGGGCATTGAGCATTAACCTGATATTAACCCACATAGAAAGTGGACAAAATTAGCCGCTTTTTACTTTTGGGTTTCTCCCAAAAATAAAAAGTGGCTGATTTTGTCCACTTTCTGTATGAGTTAATGTCGGGTTAATGCTCAATGCCCCGGATGTTGTCTGAAAACGATCCCACCTTTATATGTATATATATATATATAATACATAAAAAAACCAACAACATTCAGACAACATTTAACAGTAACAATATACACATATAAACTATACAAATAAAACACCATTAATTACAACTATACCAACATATACCCATCACCATTAAAACATATTAACTTCCTGGATTCCAATACTTCCTTCATTTATATATCATTAAGTAATAATTGTGATTATATCTTTTAATTTGAACCTACTTACAGTGTAATTCCTTAACCTTTTTCCTTTAATGTTCTCCTTTTGATCCACATGTAGATTGTATTCACAACTAAGAAGAAGTTAAATTAGAAAAATGGGGGGGAAAGGGTTATTTTGGTTGCTTACTGTTTTTATTTTTATTTTTCCCTTCCATACTTTTTATTTTTAATCTAATGTATAACTTATCTTTTCTTCTATTTGTAGAAAATGTATTACTGATTCCATGTCTTTTTACAGATTTCCAATGAAAGGCCTCACATTAAGTCTGTTTATCCATTTCTGACATATCTAGAGGTTTTATTAACCATTTATCATACTTAATTGGATCTTTACTTTTCCAATTTGCTGTGTAAATTAATCTTGCTGCTGTCGTTAAATAAAATATCAATTTTCCATATTTTTTTCCAATTCCTCATTTGTTACTATTCCTAAAAGATAAAAAGAAGGTTCCATTGAGAATATACAATCTAATATTTTCTGGGTACAACAGTGTATCTTTTTCCAAAAACTGATAGCATATTCGCATTTCTACCATAGATGGAAAAAGGTACCCGGGCTTTTGAGCATTTCCAGCATTTAAAGTCCATGTCTTTATAAATTTTTGCCAGTTTTGTCCGTGTCAAATACCAGCGATACTGCATCTTATAATAATTCTCCCTTAGTTCATAGCTAGTTGCATTTTTAATTTATATTCCAATTATACTCCCATTGTTGCAATGGTATATTTGTTTGTATGTCTTGTGCCCATTTTACCATAGATTTCTTAATAGACTCTTCTTGCATTTCTAAAGAAAGAAGATATATAATCTTGCTATTTTATGTGGTTTTTCGGAGAACAAAATATCGTCAAAATCTAATTTATCACTTTCAAAACCTTGAGTATTCTTATATTTTATAAATCTTTCTTTAAACTGTCTATAAGTAAACCAACTGATCTTATATCCTTTTATTAATTCTTATTGAGACTTCATATATACCATATTTGTTGATTCTTCTATTTTTAGTAGGTCTTTGTATACCATCCATTTATTGGGTTTCAATTCTTGTGCTTTATGGAAAGCTTCATTTATAGAAACCCACATGGGGAGCTTTCTATAAATCCATGGATAGTATTTCTGCCAGGCTTTTAATAGGGCTTTTCTGATAAAATTATTTTCAAAAGTTCTATTTGCTTTGACTTTCCCATAAAATAGGTAGGCATACCAACCAAAAATAATTTCATTTCCCTCTAACTGAAACAGTCTGTTTTCTAGTTTACACCAATCCGTAATCCATTCAATGCAACATAGTAATATATCTTTAGGTCTGGCAAGGCTAGACATCCTCTATTTAAACTATCTTGCATTTATTTTAGTCTTTACTCTAGCTTTTTTTCCTCCCCAAATAAATTTAGATATATCTCTTTGTCAATTTCTAAAAAGAATTTCATTGTTTATTATGGGGAAAATGATCCCACTTTTATGGGATTTTTCCACTTTCTGTGCAGGATGCCCCCTGATGTCATCTGAAAACGATCCAACTTTTGCAGGATTTTCCCAATTTAAATCCCATTTAAACTCTGTGTGACAAACCCCTTATTAAGATAAACTCTGTGTGACAAACCCCTTATTAAGCAACAGCAATTCCCTCTCCTTTGTGAGTTAGTGTGATTTTTCCAGGAAAATCCAACTAGAATTGGCTGTAAGCCTTTAGCCCTTTTGTATAGTATGTCTATGCTCTTATGCTTGTGATGATGGTCTCCTTTGACATACTTTAAGGAAGGTTTTGAAGGCATTCTGTCTACAGCCCATTTGGGGTCTTAGGTTAGAGCAGGTACAACACATTTCATATCATGACTATTCTTGTGCATATCCAAGAAAAGCTGAGAAGCAAATACTACTTACATATATTTTTTAAACCAGGGAATCAGGAGTCAACACTGCTAGCCATCTGCCAGAGCTCACACCTCAGCAAGGAGTTTGATTCTGACTCTTTTGCAGGCTGCCAGAAATAGTGCAAATTGAGGCCACTTTTGCCCTAAGCCAGGGGTAGGCAACCTGTCCCCTTTAAGGGCCAAGGGACTTCAGCTCCCAGAAGCCTCAGACATGTTGGCCAATAGTCCCATGTTGGCCAATAGCTCCTGGGATTCTGGGAGCTGAAGTCCCTCAGCCCTTAAAGAGGACAGGTTGCCTACCCCTGGCCTAAGCAGACGGGCAGCCGTAGGCCGCCCCGAGAAGCTGCAAATTGGGGCCAGGATAGCTGCACTCCTCGGTACCAATCCTCCCCTTTTCGGGCCCTGGAAGGAGCACTAAAATAGCGCTCCTTCCACAAGGTGCCGAAGGTGCACCACAAGAGGCATTGGGAGCACCTTTGACGTCTCTTGCGCTGCAGCATGTACAGATGCTGCAGCAGAAGTACGTCATCGGAGCACACATTGTGTGGAGCGACGGGGGCTCCGCTGATGTGTTCGGGAAGGGGTTGGGACACCCAGCGTGAGGCTGCCCCTCCCCTTCCTTGCTTCTAAGAAGGCGCAAAGCACCATCTGCTTCCCCCCTCAAACTGCTCTGGCTCAGTACGAGGAAATCATGGAACCTGTAATTTATTGTAGCTTCAGAGCTCTCTGACAGAGAAGGCTCAATGTCCCAGAAAAAAAAATACAGTTCCCATGATTCCCTAGCACTGAGCCAGGACAGTTAAAGTAGACTCAATCTGCACTATTTCTGGCAGTCTGCAGAGGCCCTCTATAATGCTGGCCCAGAAGTCCACCACTAAGCATGGATAGCCATTCCTGCTACATGGTTACTTCTTTACCTTTTTTTCTATTGGCAGTGAAATGGGAGGGACTGGAAAAATGAGAAAAAGATGGAGTGCTGTGCATGGAAAGACTGGACTCCCTAAGGGTTTCTTGTCTGAAGGCCTCCCCAAATATGAAGTATCCCAGTTATGGGAAATTCCAGAGCTGCATCACTAATCTAGGTTTGGTTCCAGTGAATGGAGCTCACTGAAAGTTCATTGGTCATCTGTAATACTCACAGTTATGATATTTACAAAGTACACAGGCTGAGCACAAAAGGAGGCATAGCTTAAACACTATAACAGTTCATCAAAGTCCACTGCTACAACCACGACAAAATTTCTAAGGTGTGCTCCCAAAAGTAGAACTGAATACTGGCAGAGAGACTTAAAAAGATTTTGGCTGATCTGATTACTAAATATCAGTCAGGATTTTTACCATCAAGGCAATTAAAAAATAACATTAGGTTGATAATGGACACCATTGAGTATTATGGGGGGGAAAACAATGATTAAAAAAAGCACTAATATTTGCTGATGCAGAAAAAGCATTTGACAACATGAACTGAAGTTTTATGAAGCAATTATTTGAAAAAATGAAGATGGGGTCTAATTTTTGTGGATGGATAAATGAGATTTATGGAGAACAATTTGCACAGTCGATTATAAATGGGAATCATACAGATAAATTTAAAATTGCAAAAGGAACAAGACAAGGTTATCATTATCACCACTATTATTCATAACAGAATAAGGCAAGAGGACAGTATAAAAGGGATAAAAATTAAAAAACAAGAGTATAAATTACAAGCCTTTGCAGATGATTTGGGTATTATTCTAGAGGACCCTAAGTTACAAATCACAAAAACTTTTCAAAAAATATGAGATTTTGGTAAGATGTGTTTTGGTAAAATGTCCCTGGAGGCTATTTAGCCCATCCCTCCACCCATTTACCATCTGCAA